TTTCTACGGATTTCCAGCAGTGCATCTCGTAGCATTAAATGGAAAAGGGTAAAGCTCTTGAAGTTGATCTAACCCTAACGGTTGCGCCATGCATTTTTTATTCATCATCCTTAGAGGTGACTGATGATGAATTTCGTTACGACATTGTTCTCTAGAAACCACTCTATATTGTCCAGTTGAGGTTTCATCGAGTAGTAATTGTGTTCGGCAACGAGACCTCAATGCCCAATGATTTCGTTGATAATTCGATCACGTGATTAAATTGCTCCTGTACAAAAGATGCTTGTTGTTGAATGCGGTACAACCTTCAAATACAAGCCGAGTGCGATCGCTTCTGTTCAGGCTCATCTCAAGTTGTGTAACGAAGGTAGTATTTTTTCATATTCTATTTTATTTCTGAAAAGGATGAAAGGACAAGGCTTGTGGTGTTGAACATTCCCTGAGGGATGCGCCATGCATTTGACTTCATTATGCATCGTTGGTGGTGATTAAAGGCATATCTGGCCCTTACAATCACTCGAGGTGCCCTATCGATCCTTCCATCCTCCCAGACAAGTCTGGTGCCAACCAGCCGATCCCGAAGGCATGGAAGGCCTGGTGGTCGTGTAGCGCAGAGATCGATCCAAACAAGTGTGTATTGCAGAGCGCCTCCGACCACTGCGCTACGCGTACCCTCATCTTAGCATTGGATTTCGTTATTTGCGTTAAAATGCATCGGAGAAAAACGTTCGTTGGTAAATACCTGACAACAGAACATAATTACTCTTAACACATTCGCGAAGACGTCTACTTTATCGTGACCAGCATATGGAACGACGCTCAGTTTCTCACCACACTTCCCATGACAACTACATATGTCACACCGGCCACAGTTTCCCCAAATCAGGTAACCCGCCAATTTTTTGTGATCCTGATTCCATAATTGAGTTCTTTTCTGTTTTAAAAAAATTTCAGCGTTTTTCTCGTCCGAAGTATCCTTTATGCACTTCCTCATGTTTCAGAGCGTATACAGCCCTTGCATGTTATAAGAAAATTCGTCCATCATCCACTGACACCGCTGTTGTTAGCATTTAATGTTCTATAAATCATGCAAAATATATCACGATTTTTACCTCATGGTATTTATACGCTCCAATTCCATACAACGCTCACAATTCATCATAGCGACTGAAGTTCACAGAAGTTGCTGGCTAACAATTTTGCTTCCCACAACGGCCGACGCTATTTCTTTAATAACTTTGAAAAATTCTTAGATGATTAGTGTATTTTGTGAGATAGAACCTTAACAGACTTGTAGGAGAAACTTCACACTGTTGTTATATATGTATATATGTTACCACAAAAAATAGAAGGATAAAGCTGTTGGCATTGATCAATTCCTGAGGGATGCGCCATGCATCCAACTTGACTAAGCGTCGTTTGGAGGCGATTGAATCCATATCTGGCGTTTACAATGACTTGCAGTGGCCTAGCGATGTATCGAGCCAGTGCTGCTATTTTACCAGGCAAGCCAGGTACCAATTTGTCTACCCCGAAAGGATGAAGGGCTTGGCGGGTCTGAGGCACCGACATCGATTCTGTGGGTATTGCAGGGGGCCTCCGCCCACTGCCTTATTGGCGCCTGTTATGTTACCATATCTCTAGTTTTTCCATACGATAAACATTACTCAACGTAGAGAGTGCAAAACGTGGACCGTAATTTACCATAGGTTTGTCGAGACGACTCACTGTTATATGAATACCAAATAGTTAAGAACACTCGGTCGCATTAGCTGCTCGCTTTTGCTCGTGCTACGCGGGACGTTTCGTGATCGGCAGTCACAATTCTGGACACTTCAAACTTGGGCATTTAAACCTTTATACATACGTGTTATTTACAGCAACGCAAATAAATTTCGACAATAAGTTACAAGTAAGGTGGGCAGTAATAAAACGACTAACAAGTTGCATTGACAATAACACATAATGTTATTCAGCAGGTTGATGAGCGCATGAGATAGTTAGGAAACATTGTATTGCTATGATTACAACAAAGCTAGGATTTATGTGCCCACAGTGCAAGAATGTGATAGGTTAGTAGAGTACCTGTGAACACTGCGAGTATTTAGGATAATTGTTACCTCAACGACACGTATTAGATGTGAAACGCTGATAACTTTAATTTACTGATAATGCAAGAGCTTAAGACTCTAGTTCACAACAATTTTGCTCACGCAAATCGAAGGAGTTTTAAAGGAGGAATATTAAGTGCGAAAGCAAAATGAAGGGGAAGAGACTTGATTCGAGCGAGTGATGTGGGTCGCGGGATCACGCCATGGGTGGCAAAGTCTCGCCCCTAAGCCATGCGTCGTGCTTGGTATTATGCCCGGGGTGTATCTGATGGTTATAGTTGCCGTATTTGCTGGCGTGCCCGCTTGCTAGGATGGGATATGAATGTAGGGCACTCAGCACCAACAGAACACATAAAGAATAAAGTTGCAATAGAGAACATTATTTTCTATCAGATAATGTTTATTTGGTCGACTTGTCGACACTCCGGCCCGGCTTTTGTTAATTTCGCCTTCGCTTTTGGTTTCTTTGTCAAGGATGTCTGCTACACTAGTTGACAACATTAAATAGTAACCAGAAAAGAAATATTATCAGAAATATTATCAGTTTGGCCATAAATTTGAATATAGACGAAAAGATGCTGTTACGGGCGTTGAGATGCAGCCATAGGTGAGTCCTATCAGCAATAGCAGGCAGAATTATTATCGTCGATTGGTCGACTTGTCGGCACACCGGCCCAGCTTTGTTAATTTCGCAATGACTTTTGTTCCTTTGTCGTGGAATTGTTATTGGGCGAAAAGACGGCAATGTTGTAGAATAGCAGAATACTAGCTGGAAGACGGCAGTGCTGTGGAATAGTAGGACAGAGTACCGTGCGTGGAGTGGAATGTAGTGGACTTGATTAGTTAGAGTCGAGTAGGAATAATGTGGACAACTGTTTAAGAGTATCATATGCTGTGAGTATTGGAATACTGTACCTTAGTATAGTATTCCGGATTGAAATTTAGCGTTGAACATAAGACGTAGTTGTGATGACTGCGAAACAGTAATGGCGGACAAGTGCTTGAAGTAATGTCAGTTAATCGAATATCAGCTATTTTCCACTGAATACGATGATCATGAAGTATTAATGGTGGAGGAAAATTTACTTCGCTTTATCGTGGTGTTTCAAAGATTTTAAAATAATCATCTGCACATATTTTGTGAGCAAAGTGACCAGGTGAAAAAATATGGACTCCTCCGTTAATGTGCTTTATATGTGGGAAATTCGGTTGGTGCGAATTCATTTCGTTAATGTTCACTCCAATTGTTGTACAGTGGTAAGTTCCGAAAACGTGGCATCCCAAAAATATTAGCATGGCTGTAGCTGTGATTAAGTGTAGAAGAGAAAAACCGCTTCCAAGAAGTTTTTTGACATATAGACCTTGAATTTTAAAAGCTGCCGGTAGTTGCTTCTTGACGAGATTTTTGTTATGATAATGGAACGGTCGAATTGCCAATATCTTCTGGTACCTTTGCTTGTGATATTCGTGATATAGTGCGTACATCGGTTGATAGTTTGTCCTCCTTTGTAGGCCGTGGAGGAGATACCTCATATTCCGTCCATTTATCATGCTCGACGAGAGCGGTACTGACTTTCACATGTAACGACCAATATCGATCCCATTTATCGAATTCATCATCTTCTTCTTGTTATAGATGCAGGAAGTTCTCACTTTCTTTATGTGCTGATTCTAGTGAATTTTTGAGTTTTCCTGTCAACAAGTGCCCAAGATCTGTTGGAAAGAGATGTAACCCAGAAGGCAGTTCAATGTGGGATTTGTCGCTTTTTATTAGTGTCCACAATTGGTCACAGCCCAACAGGATAAACGGTTTGATTTCAGATTTTTGTTGACTTCAATTTGAAGATTGTGCCTTTGAATGAAGTCTATATCTTCTTGACAGACTGGTGGCGACTTGAGCGGCTTTGTTATGGCATCGTGTGTGAACTGGAATAGTGAAAGTTGATGCCTATCTGCGTCCCATACTTCTAATGGGACTTTTCTTGATATACTTTTTTGTCTCATGCGATCTGAATGTGTGTAGTCGCAATTTCGTTTCCTCCATTGTGGGCAGACGAAGTTCTTGAGGAAGTTTTTCGTCTATGAAGGATAATTCTGTTGTACATTCGGTGTACAACAATACGAAAATCTTCTTTAGCTGTTTGGTCGTTGGATCCATAACCGTTATTTCTCCTATAGGTAAGAAAGTTGACGTGTAGTGTTTTGTCTGATAGTGTCGATGTTTTTTCTTCATCGGATTTCCCTTGTCTGACTTGATTTATTTTTGTTTTTGATTTTCTTTCTTTCAGTTTCCCTTTGTTATCCTCTACATCTTCTTTAATTTTTTCATTCCTCGAGGATGATATGAAAGGTTTTTCTTTTGGAGAACAGAAGCAGCGTGATGTATGGTGCCGTTTTTGGCACTTATAACACGATGCTTTGCTGCATTGAAATGTGTTGTGGGACGAGGATGCACATATGTAGCACAGCCCATTCTTTTGAAGGCATTGAGCTCTTTCTTGAGTTGTTCTGTATTTGTCGCAGTAAAACGGTTTATGGCTGCCCTTGCAATACATGCATGAAAGCATTGAATATTGGAGTTTCCATTGTTTTGTTTTGTTCTCAGAGCTAGTTGTAGCGACTGGTTTGCGTTGAGTGTCGATGGGAAATTTCGACAGTACTTACGTGTGCATGCATTGATTGTTTACTTTTTCCCCTTTTTCGATTAGTTGGTAGCTTGTACATGATCTAGTAGTTGCATTTGCTCATGCAAGGTGGATGAGCGAAGAGCAGCTCTGTCTAGTTTCTTGAGTAGTTGAAGAGTAAGTTCCTCGGAGTTGCCACACTTCTTATTGAAAAGTCGATGGCTTTTTAGTAGTTCTCCTCGCTAATCTGGAACTTCTTTATGGCTTAAAGGGGTTCTCCTTTCAAGAAGCTAATGAGGTAATTGAATTTTTGTAGGTCTGAGACCTTTCGTGAATGTATATTTGTGTTTAAGAGCTCCCAAAAGTTATCCCAATCCCATATGTCACCACTGAATGTCGGGATGGGAATTGTGGGCAGTTCCAGCTTCTTCACGACGGCAGTGACAATGGATTCATCGTTCCCACCATTTGTAGTGGACAGTATGTAGGATGTGATGAGGAGCTCAGTGTGAGCTTTAAAGCCATGCATCCGAGCATGGAGGAGTACCAGATATTCGAAAGTATTGCCAATCGCTTCTTCAGCGGCACTCGAATATTGTGCGAACTCGTCTTCAATATTTGGTAGCGTCGGATGAGTCTTTTCGAATATGGTAGCGAGTTCGTCCAGTTCGTGTTGAATCTTTGTGGTCATGTTCTCTAGGTCTGCAGCTCCTTCTTCTAAGTGCTGCAGATTTGAATGAATGACAGCGGGCGTTATCTCGCCTTGCAGATTTTGAATACTAATTTCTTCTAACTGCGAGTCTTTGAACCGCGTTAAGGCTTTTTGTAATTGGTTAGTATACCGCGTAAGTATCCGCTTGTGACTTGCCAACGTTAGTTTGAACATGATTATAGAGTTAACGTACTTGGTTGCGGCTTTCTTGACCTGACGGATCCTTTCAAGTGGCCAAAGCACCAAAATTGCTTGTTGCGGCGGTGAGATCCCAACTTTATATGAATACCAAGTCGTTGTGGATATTAGTCCTTGTAGCTGCCACGCGGGACTTTTTCCGTAACTGTCGTGAACCTCGAGTTTGGGTTACAACAGTTTACAGCAATAACAACTGTACAATAATATTATCTGGTATGTTGCGATATGTGGTTAAGTGGGTATATACAAGCAAGATTGAAATGAAAACAAGCGATGCAGTTGAAGGAAATTAGGCGGACACTAGAGTGGGAGCACTGAGGAACTGAGAGATTGGACGAACACTGGACCAACGCTATGAACGCTTGAAGACGAATCTCCGTGGGCCGCTTGTATTCCTTCTGTAGTGGGCGGTGCATTTCCAAAGAGAACTAAAGACAGTGCCTAGAGAGAGGTTCTAAAGGCTTTTTCTACTAGCACAATTTGATAGGGCTACATGTAAAAGGACGCAGCTGCTTGTTCGGAAACTTCTTTGGGACGGCAGATGCCGGAAAGTACATTCAGCTGACTGCTGCTGATTCAGTGCCTGAACTGCCGAACAAAGAAGGGTAGTTTATTGAAAGAAGTTGTAGAATCCCTTTCCAGGCACCTGCGAGGCAACTGCATGAGATAGTTGCTAAGAGGCAATTAAGAGAAGATGCAAAGATAGATTTAAGATAGTTACAGGTGAACAAGAAACACACACCAAAACAGAAAATTAGGAATAAAGTCACTGAAAGCAGTATTTGAAATGTTTTACATAGAGAACGTTCCAATATTCGTGAAGAATGTTCTCTATAAGGTTTCCCTATCCCAGTTATCTGATATGTGATTTGTTGAAGAACATTTGAGATGTCTTGCGTGCCACCTCATCAAGATCGCAATTAATGGAAAGTGAATAGTGGAGTAGGTAGATCGTATGTCTGTATGTATGCATTGTGAAGTGCATAAAATGTTTTTGCGAACAACTTCCAATACATCAAAACAGCAATAAACCAATTGCTCTGCAAGAGTATCGACTCCACAAAACTAAAACAGGTGATGAGATTTGGAGGATAAGACAATAAAGAGTAAAAACGGGAGTGAAAGAAGTTGTCGAACAGGACTTTATGCCGTTCGTTCATTTCCGTTCCATCGTCCTAGAAGGTTCCACTTCCGGAAATAATGTCTAGGATTAACAACATTGTTTTCGCAGCTGTCTCAGCAACCGTGTTTTAACAGCCAAGGATTTGTAATATTTATTAATTGTTATATGTTTGCTGACGATCGGCTAAAACACTTCCCTTCCATAACTTCCACGCCCGACTTTCTATTAACCTCGGCATTGACTGAACTTCCCTTCCATGTTCTTACACAAAATACTTGCAACATAGGATAGTTTTGTACACCTAGTTTGGAAAGTAGATTTGTTAGGAGTTCTGTTCCAGGTACTCTTCTTTATTCTTCTAAGAGTTAGTGTTTTTGCAAGAGGAGCGTTCTCAACCAGTTTCCTTTTTGCATTTCCTCAAGGCTATCCCTATCACAATGGTTTTCTGGTTCGTCACAAGATTTCCGATAGAAAATATCTGCTCGTTCGCTTCTAAGGTCGTTGTTTAGTGATAATTTCATGGCCAGGTAAAGATTCCATGGAATTCAAGCACTACATTTATTACAGAATTTTTAGGTTCAGCCCTTCAAATTATTACGTGCTGTAAAGGAAATGCTAGTCGAAAACGGTTGTAATGATGTCAACAGCTTTAATGCTTTCCATCAAAACTATTTTTTGGTCATGAACATCGACTCTTTTGAGCAACCAATGAACCCATTCAAATATTTGTAGTTGAAATAGTGCGAACATGGACTTTGGGGGTGTAGAGGAGTTCTTAACATTCTGGACGGATATGAGTAAGTTCTACAGTATCTATCATATCCTATACAGGATTAAGTGACCTCAGAGCTAAGATTTCATCTACGTTAATGTTAAAGTAACTCCACATCGAAAATCACGGATTAAAATAGAATGAACTCAGTGATGCCTGGATGCGTCATGATAAATGAGAGAGTCAAATTTATCCTTCTTTCGGTATTAATGGAATAGGACCCTTTATTCTTGTTATATTATTGGGGTAGGGGGGTGTGGCACGGTGGTCGGAGGCGCCCTGCAACACACACGTGGAATCGATCTCCGCACCCATGGCCCACCAAGTGTTCCATCCCTCTAGGGTCAGCAAATTGGTATCGGACTTGTCTGGAAGTATAGCAGCACTGGCTCGACACATCGGTAGGCCACCGCCAGTCATTGTAAAGTCCAGAAATGCATTCAATCACCTCCAAACGATGCTTAGTGAAGTCGAATGCATGGCGCATCCCTAAGGGATTAATCAATGCCAAGAGCTTTATACTTCATTTTTCTTTACTATTTTTGTTATATTCAGCACCATATGTCTATAGCTAGCCTGTCGGAATTTTTTCAATGCAATGTTGTACTCAATTGCATCTTTCTGGGCAATCCCGCAGTAAACGCGTATTTGTTAGAATTGACTAGAATCTTATGTTCCTCTAATTAGTCATTAGCTCTATCGTCTGTCTTACCGGCGAGTAAATCGAGTGTGTTCCAGCAAAGCCTCACTTTGTCCCTGTCATGTACGAGAAGAGTTCAATGGGATTTGTACGCTCCAGGAATTCGCCAAGCGTTATATTTTTCTTCTAGGTTAATCATGATGAACTGCTATCGTCGGCTCGGTGGCCCCTTGCTGCACGCTTGGCATCCCGTGTTGTCGAAATCGCATAACATTAGCTTCGTCAGGGCGAAGATTGTGTAATTACCGACCATCGCTTTTCACTACCGTGTTGTCTCGTTCCACTGTTCGCACGATGTTCTCGAGTGTAACAGCAGCTAGTTTTCGCATGGTACTATCACCTTTTCGAAGCCTGTCTTAATGTTAATATTAGTATCGATATAAATTTATTGGTCGCTAAGGATTTTTTAAATACTGAGTAGCGAGACCATAGCTGTGCACGGTTTCCACAACCACTTCTGCCTTAACGAGGTCGAAGACGATTTTTTTAGTCAGCAGGGTTGAGAGAAGCCTTATATAAAACGTTAAAAAACAAAAGGTTTGTGACACATATAGTCCACATAGCCGTCGTGCATTAGGGATGAGCACAAGCAAAAACGAAGCGCCTCATGCTTGTGACATGGGGTCCTTTGTTCACCCAATCTTTCGCAGACAAATAGCCACGGGTAACTCGCTGCGTTCTGTTATGCCGTAGATTAACGCTTTGTTGTACTTTCTAGTGGAAATATCGAATATCTTCTGAATTTACAATCCCCTAATGAATCTCTTGATCGTCGTCGAAGTTCGGCTTCTCCCGTGGAAGCAGCAGCAGACTCCTCTCAAGTGCCTTAAAGTTAATTACTCAGAAAACTTGACTAGGAACACTTATCAAACTTTACTATTGGATGCACACATGCCTAGTACAGGATGGTAGAAGAACAAGTTACTATCAACGGATAGTCATATCAGCAACAATCGTCCCGAGAGAGCTGCTGAGTAAGGTTGCCTCATTGGAGTTCCGCCCTACTGAAGAAGATGCGACGACGAAGACACCACATCGAGAAGACGAGCTACTGTGAACCATCGACTCGTATCATCGGCTTTGATGTCGAGACGTTAACCGAATAAACATCTTTGTCAACCTCGTATTAGCTTAACAATCCAAGAAAGTTTTGGTATATTATTTCATGCATTAGCAACTTCTCCAGTATCTTTATTACTCACTTGTATACTTGGATGGCCCGTCTTCACTGGTTTTGCGGGCTCCAGCATAATTCCCATCCCTTCGTAGTTTCACTAGTTTAGCCATTATGCTCCCTTGGCGTCCCGAGGTCAGCCAGGCCAAAGTTTGGCCCAGGTCGTCACGACCACAGGTGGTCGCTGCTCTTGTGGATCAGAGGGATATTTGTCACCATACGGACTAGTTTGATACCAGGACGGTAGTGGATCCCGATAATGGTTTAGTCTTAGTTGGGTTTGCTGATGGAAATACCGGACTCCTCAGCTTGGGAGGCCTTAGTGGTGTGTTGAATCCCCCGGTGTACATCGTAGCCAGAGGCTCAGGACCATCTTCCAGTCTCGATGAGGCGGTAAACCATTGGAAGGAATACCTCTACTATATCCTCCATATTTGCAATACATTGAGATTCCTCGGAATTTCGTAGGCGAATGCGATCATAATGGTGATATATTTATTCATATATTTATTTACACAATATGTAAACATTCTTCAAAATTATATATTCAACATATCTGAACAGCAACAGCTTTAACACATAACAACATGCTTGACAACAACAACAACAATAACAAGAAAATGGACAGTAATATTCTTGTAGGAAAATATAAAAGAAAGTAAAATACGGCAAAATCGCAATTATGAGGCGCATCGTCGTTGCTTCGGATGCCATTTGGCCTCAACTGTTGACTGAATTGCTTCTATATTGTCGACAGCAGCGGGTTTATCATTCAATGGGTTCATGGCCAACAAGACCTGGAAGAAAAATTAGAACCTTTGGAACGTCAATGGAAGGACTAACAATACCCATTCTTATAAAGTAATAGGAACGGGAGAACGGAAAAAATATTCAAAACTCACTACTCGAGATGTTATTTTCACACTGGCGTACGCCACACTGTAAGCGTGCTCAGAAATGTCGGTACTACGACGGCAATGTTTGCGCTCAATTTCAATAAGAATGGAATAAATCTGTCCCAAATAACAGCGCTCCCATGTGCTTATCGAAGAATCCTGAAAAACTAGATATCAATAAACAGATTGATCCATTGGTGAAAAATTAAGAATTTCTGGATAACACTGAATAAGAACTCTGGCTACCAGCAACAGCAAATTTGAAATGCCGTAACTCGGAAAATACTGAACAATACTAATTAAAAGGAGAAGCACTATAATCTATGCATTTCTTTCCTATCCGGCAGAGTAGATTTCTGAAGTTCTGGAAGTGATGAATTCCTCGAAAGGGATTCTAGCAGCGGTTTGGTTGCTGAAAACTTCTACAGTAACTAGTCGTCAAAATGTGTGGAAAGAAATGGGAAGAGATCCGAGTAGCTTGTCCAATAGTAAAGGAGTCCATTTAGTTAAACTTATGCAGTGTTATTTTCGCGACGTATGGTTGAATGTCGTCGATATACACCGGCTGAAGATGTCTAACGTACTGGCGCTCGTTGTCGACTTCCTATCAAAAGTTTTCTGTTGTGGTCACTTTGCCAAGATTCAGAAAACTGTTGGATTATTCTTTCTACTTCTTTTCAGCAAACACGAGGTGTTACTTTATTTCTTTATTTACGTACAAGCTGACGTTTCGGCGGATTTCACCTTCCTCAGAGCTTGGAAGGGTCAAGTTGACTGCAATCTACACGGCCAAACACCTCCATAAACAAACAGAGAAAACGCTGAACCAAAATTTCAACCACATTGAACATAGTCTTTGCACACTCATCGCTTTCTATGAGTCTTTCACTAAATATGTTACGTGGAGACCAACCGCACAAAGTTCACACGGAATCGCATTGTGCCCATCTCATCGAAATAACAGGCTTATATAGTGCTCAATATCATGCGTGATAATGAGGCATTCCTCCCTGCGGTTCATTTTCGGATTCTTGGAATTAACCCAGAATGCCTCTAGAGTTTTGCGCGAGGAAGAGTGGTCTACCCGTTTCGCCTACGTATTCGTCCCCGCACGCTTTACAAGAGATCAGATAGACTGTACCCGAACTCATGCGGTCACCGTCTCTACCGTTAGGGCAAATTGTGCAGTTTTCCGTTATACATAAACGGTCATATAGGCGGTTGCTAACTAGCTGGCATCTTAGAGTGTTCGATGGTATTTCTATCACTCTTACGGAATTCTCCAGACCGACCCTTATTAACGTTTTATGGATGCACTTACTTCATTTGAAATGAATGGCAGTATAAACGCGACCTTATTGTCGCTAGAGTTATCGCTGGCGCACCTATGGTTTCCTCTACACCTATCTCGAACTGCAGTTTCGTAAAAACTGCGAAACTGTAGTTAAAACTGTTAAACTGTAGTTAACTTGTTTTTGTTAACTGTAGTTTTTTACGAAACTGTAGCTCGAGATAGGTATAGAGGAAACCATAGGTACCCTAACGATAACTCTAGCGACAATAAGGTCCCGTTTATACTGCCCAGAATCGAAAACAGAAGCGCGCAAAACTCTAGGGGCATTCTGGATTAATTCCAAGAATCCGAAAATGAACTGCAGGGAGGAATGCCTCATTATCATGCGTGATATTGGGCAGTATATAAAACTGTTATTCTGATGGGAGGGGCACAATATGATTCCATGTGCACTCTGTGCGGTTGGTCTCCACGTGACATATTTAGTGGAGGACTCATAGAAGGCGGTGAGTGTGCAAAAACTCTGTGTTTAATGTAGTTGAAATTTTGGTGCAGAATTTTCTCTGTTTGATTATGGAGATGTTTGGCCGTGTAGATTGCAGTCAACTTGACCCTTCCAAGCTCTGAGGAAGGCGAAATCCGCCGAAACGTCAGCTTGTACGTAAATAAAGAAATAAAGAAACACCTCGTGTTTGCTGAAAAGAAGAAAGAATTATTCAATCAATGCCGAGGTTAATAGAAAGTCGGACTTGAGAGTTACTGTTGAATTAGTCGGCTGCAGACCATCACCATAATCGAAAGTGTTTACAAAGGAAGTTCATCTTTCTTCAAATGAATTCGACTGGTTGCATCTTCCTTAATGGATCGGTCCACTAATTTCTGAATTCGCTGTCGTCACAGGGGTCGTTGCTGTACTGAAAGAATCTACGTCACAAAGCAGACCACCTTCTAATTCATAGAGCAGGCGGTGACTACCTGCTGTAAAGACCAACCGCACAAAAGTAATAGCCGAAGGCGAACGAACATACGAATACTACCTTCATAGATGACGGATGCAAACGAATAAAACGAGTTGAATAAGTGCTGAGACGCTCACGGTGTGTGAAGAGGGATCAACTTGGTGGATGTTGTGTGCGATCTACTTGCCATCGAACATCACAATACGATGGAGAAGTCGGTTCGCTTTTTGGCATAAAATGAGCACAGGGCAGGTTATATAAGGACGCAGCTCAAAGTTGTCAATTCAATTAACTCGGCACCAATTAATCTGTTTGCCTTTACAGTACGTTTAACCTGATCGTCAATTTTTGAATGATTGTTGACTGGTCATGCCTAGTTCTTTTGCAACGTCTATATCAGTTCTTTGAAGGGTTAGCTATAACTACCGCCTTTAGATGTCCCCAAACAATTGCGCACGGTTCCATGACTTTGTTGTTTTCAACTCATCTCAAGTAGGAAATTTTTCGGACAATCTGCTCAATCTGTATTCAGAAAGTTCTTTTTCATATATTTCCATAACATTTCGAGCTGACTGCACAATCGTACGATCAAGTTCGAAGTAATGAAGCGAAACAACATGTCTTGCTTGCTCTGGCGGAACAATATAAACCAACCTAAGATTACTCACTGTAAATTTAATTTTAGGCAAAGGTGCACACAGGAAATTGCTGAGCAAGCCAAGAAACACGATTGAATGAAATATGAAGCTGAATGAAGCTCTCGACGTTGTTCAACCCGTAAGAAATGCGCCTTGCATTTAACTTCAATTAGCATTGTTGGTGAATGAGTGCATATCTGGTCGTCATAATGACTCGCAGTGGCCTACTGATGTATCGAGCCACTGCTGCTTTCCTCCCAGACAAGTCGGGCACCAATTTTCCGACTCCAGAGGGACGGAGAGCTTGCCTGGGACGATGGGATCGATTCCATGCGTACCGCAGGGCGCCTCCGACCGCTGCGTTACAAGCGCCATCAGGTCGCATATCTATGCCGTGCCAAATGATGCACATGAAAGTAACACATTTACTAATAAATCACATACTGTTATGATGGAAGCAATCCACGAATGAAGATTCATTCTGTAGAACAGATCATGAGCAACAGAAGGCATTTGCACTGCAGATTTAAGAATAGCTAGAATAAGACGACGGGATGCCATGTTAAGCATACAAGTGGGAAATAACGATAGTAGCAGTTTGACGCCAGAGCTGCAAAGAAACCCTTGTCCATAATCCTATAATAAGTGCAACCACGGGAATTGTGAATCAAAGATAAAATACTAATATTGTAATAAGTTTGCCTAAAAAACAAACCGATTTTGAAGGAGATTATAGTCCATTGGTTCAATAAGACTCTCTGATATAAGGGATAAAATCCATTCTCGTTCTTGGTGGTGATGATCCGTCGACGAACTGAGTAGTAATTTATATAGTTCAGGCACCTTAAAGAAATTTTTCTCGTTGGTATATGACGAGTACGAAAGCAGGAGAAAAAAATCGGGTATAAAAGCGACTCACGTTATTGAGGTCGATAACTGGCTTTAAGCTAAGAAATGAAAGAACGGGGCTGAATAAAGGTGATTCCGGATGAAGAAAAAGTTTGGAGACACGGGAAAAGAAATGCGACACCACTGGAACAGAAAAGGATGACAATGTGATTTACATCGCAAGGAAAAAGAAAAATAGCAGTGCTCATAATGCTCATATGAAATAAGTCCATGAAATTAGGTGGTTTTCTCGTATATATGACGGATAGCGATATCCCAGACGTGGCCGTAAAAAGTTAAAATCCTCGGAAAGCTATCATATCAGTAGAGACAGCCTACTCATAAAATAAAAGCAAAAATATTAGAACAAACTGTGTGATAATCGAGGTGCGACACTCTCGATACTCTGTTTAAAAATCCTCAATAAATAAATATAGAGATATTTATGACGATCTTCAACAGCATCGACATCGAGTTCCTAGAAGAAGATTCCTTATTCCTGAAACCTTCAACTCCAAAAGTTAGGAACTTACCTGCAATAGAGATAAGAAGCTTTGAAGTACACAGTAAGCTAATTTCCGTACTGAAATATTTCTGGAAGACGTGCACGAAAACGCAAGAGACAGTCCGTTGCACTCAACAAATGAGCGATACTTCAACTGAAATAACGGTAGCTGTTGACTAGAGGGAGATTTTCCTTTACACGACTAGTCTGCTACTAGGACAGTGGTGGATGCTGGTATTGGTTCACTCTTAGCTGGGCTCCCTGATAGACACCCCAAACTCCTGAGCTCGGGAAGCTCTGTCGAGGGGATGAATCTCCTCACTGTACATCGCAGCCCAACACCCAGGAAAACCTCTCATCCACGATGAGGCGGTAAACCGTTGGAAGAGATATATATAAGAGATATATATAAGCTTCTGCTCTCAGATGTATATATATACATATACATGCATGCATATATACATATGAATATTTGTATATATATATATACATATATATAATACATATACATATGTATATCCTTCAGCGTTGACATATACCTTAAGAATGTGTTGTGTATTCAACTCCATTAAGTATCTTGAAAGTGGATAAACGTATATCAAAGTTGTACAATACACTTCTTCATTCACAAATCATTTGCTCGAATACTTCTCAAAAGCACAGAGAAAATACTGGATGAATAGCCATGCAACCAAAAAGGGCTTCGAAAAGGGTTATCGAAAAGTAAGACAGATCAAATCCACGCGGCGAGATTCAGTGAAGTATTAGGTCAGAACAAAATAAAGCTTCTCTCACTTATGTCGAGTAAAGAAAAAGTTCAGTTTTTTTGAAACGAAAGCGGTCATTGAAATTCTAGGCAAAAAGGACGTTCATGCTCAACATATAAAAACCCTTCGTTATCCGTACACAATTTCACAACCAGAATATCACCAATACACAACTATATTAATAATAGCGCAAAGAGGTACGACACACCACCTCCGCAACATTATTTGCAACCACTCTCCAGAACATACAAAAACCGAAATGTCTATTCGCTAATTACATTGTTCATATAACAGTTCGGTGGCAAGAATGTTAGCCGTTTTCAAGAACACCTGTGGAGAGATTGGTCTTCGACTAAATCTGAATACAAGATTCATTAAAAACATATTTCTGATACTCTCATTAAGGACAACGAATTAAACGCTCCCAAAGGCTACAGATATATAGCGCGAAAAACTTACCTAAGACCAAGGTCTAAAGCTCGAGAGGTGCGAGTGGTTTGAGGAGCTTTGAAGATCCAAGATGATACCGAATAGCACAAAAAACCTCTTACCCGTCCTACCTCACGATTATACAAATCTTACGAAAAGTGAAAAACACCATCAAACTGTACTCTTGTTACACTTCAATGAGTCTTGTTATTGAGTTGATGCGAACCATCGCATTAAACTTCTCCAAAACCCTGCTAGCTTAATATGGCTGATCTAAGACCACTATTCTACCAGCTATTGAAAATGGACATTTAAGTACGCAGATGATGCAGAGTAAGTAGACTGGACGAGACTTATTGGTGCCGAGTAAATCTTCTCTTACTGGGTTGTTTTCAGAAGAAGTTTAGGGCAATGTGCTGATAAAGATGGGTGCTATTCTCTATAGATGCACAGGTGTAACCTCGTCTGGACCGACTAATGTACAATTCCTCACCGATGTAAGCGCAAATTGGACTTCAAAAAGAAGAACTGCTAGAAACAGAACATTCAACCTCTTTGAGAACAGTATGAAAGGAGATGGATATGTCGTTTTCTTGTTCAACAATCGCGAGGTTTTTAAACAGTATACATTTACTTCCATAGAGAAACACAATACATTACAACGCTAGGTGACGTTTCGGCAGTATCGCCTTCCTCAGAGCCGCTTCAGAGTCAACAACTATATGCGACTATAATCAGCTGTTCTAAACTTCTTCATTGGAAGTCACGTAAAGAAGGCGATACTGCCGAAACGTCAGCTAGCGTTGTATTGTATTGTTTTTTTTATGGAAGTAAATGTATGCTGTTTAAAAACCTCGCGATTGCTGAACGAGAAAACAACGCATTCACACTCCAATGCAGAGGTTAAAAGAAAGTCGATCCTGGGAAATGGATATGTTTAAGAAGATCGAAATAGAAATCCTAGAATAGAAATAAACGAAATAGAAACTTTTTTTGTTCTTCTAGAACTAGTGAGTAATCTGTCTACGCATTGGATAGCGATCACCTTTGTTTAGTAATTGGAAATTTTTCGCCTCTGTAACTTAAGCGCACATTCCTTTCCTTAACAGGGAGTAACCTCCATAAAGGATACGAAGGACAAAGCTCTCAACGTTGATCAATTCCTGAGGGATGCACCATGCTTTCGACTTCATTAACCACCGTTTGGAGGTGACTGAATGCATATCTGGTCTTTACAATTACTGCGGTGTCTTACCGATGTATCGAGCCAGTGCTGCTATCCTCCCAGACAAGTCTGGTACCAATTTCCTGACCACGGAAGGATGGAAAGCTTGGTGGACCAGGAGAGTGTGGATCGATTCCATGTGTGTGTTGCAGGGATCCACCGACCACTGCGCCACACGCAGCTCAGGTAAACTTCATAGATCATAAGAACCTCGTATATCCTCCGGTAGTCCTATTCACTTAAGCGTCGAAAGAAACATACATGCCTTGGTAACTTCCAAGCTCTTGGCTTACATAGCAGTGCCGTGAAAATCTGCAATATGCCAACATTTTTCAGAGATGTTAGTAACGGTATCTTCTGCAAATCCTATCAAAAGGTAAGAAATCAAGTTGGCTGCAACAATGAGACATTTTCTTGAATCTTTTCGCTCCATTTCCGTTCTGAAAAAAATCTAAGGCAAAAATTGGACAAAATGGCGAGTTTGATTATCCGAAACCTTCGATTTAGGGTAATATCATGGTGATCAACCTTATTTCACCGCTCTTCATTGGAACATTCTCATTTCTGACGTTGCGAAAAGGCTAAGTTCTAAACGATCGCTTATATTTCTCCGTATTAAGGAATCCATGGACGGTTTCTCGTACTATCCTAAGCCATGGGCATCGATGTGAATTTCTTCAGACGTTCTCGATGGGTTTATTCTGACGATGCTATCGACATGGTTACTAGGCATGAAATTTACTACAGAGCTTCTCAATGACCTTTTAAAATTAGTAAACCTTCTACAATGGGGAAGGCAACGCAGTGATTTGACCTCGTCTAGGCTCACGAATCCTCTCTTCATTCCGGAGTAGGGAAAATGGTACGACACCTGTCAAGGACCACTTCACCCCAGCCAATCCACGATGGAAGCTCTAGCACAGCCATCCTAGGACTCCAGGAAAAACCCAATTAACAAGTATTCAACGATAGCCATAAAAAGTATTACAATCCTCAGGAAGCTACCGAACCCAAGCGCTCAAAATTTGAAAACCTTCGTGGGTGATGTATGTAAAGGAATAAATCGATGTGTTGTGTTGGGATGTGTTGGAATCCGCAGAGCTGACGTGAAGATAGATGGGTCGTGTAGACTAAAAAAACCTTGTATATGTTATCTTTAGGCGTGAAAGTTTAGGGGACAATACTTGTTACAGCTCGTTTTTGTCCACTCTGTCCAAGAAATCGACATTCAAAGACAAACTAGTATTGATGAGAAAATGAACACTGTTAATTGCTCTACTACAGCATGTTTCGAGAATCAGTGATTTTCGCGAATCATAAAAAACCGCGTCTCTCGTGTTGAGCAGTGAAGAGACGTTATATTTGGTCTCGTTTGCCTATGTAATCAAATCCTCAGTATGTAATTGCGACACAGTCACGTGTACTCAATATTCTGTTTGTCACCACCTTTTAGATAGCTTTCAACTTCTAAACAATTATCCTGCCCTGTACTGTTATGATAGATGGCTTTTTACTGTTCAAAAATATTAATCTCTGCCAAAAATTTGGGGAACTCTAATGTGAACGATCGTCTACACTCATGACTGGGTTACCAATGTCACACAAAAAACATGGAACTCATTTGTTGTGGTGGCGGGAATTTATAGGTACCTCATATGTACTTTTCAATTAGCTAATTGATGTCTTTTAGCAAAAAATAAATGTAATATGTTTACAATCTATACACAGACCAGCACATTAACGCATGATTAAATCGACAGCAATTCCGTAGAAATTTTTTCATATTGGGGTATTTGGACGGCTCTTCCTCACTGGTTTCGCGGACCTAAGCATAATTTCCATTTTTCAGAGTTTTCGGGGTTTATCCATTGTGGTTCTCTGGAGTCCTGAGGTCTGCCTAGCCAAAATCTGCCCCGTCGTCACCGCCACAGGCAGTCGTCGCCCTTGTGGATCAGAAGAAGATTTACCATTACGCGACTAGTTTGATAGTAGGACCGTGGTGGATCTTGGTATAAGTTTACACCTAGCTGGGCTTCCTGATGGAAACGCCGGACTCCTTCCCACCTCGCGAGGCCCTGCTGAGTACATGAATCACTCCGTTGTACTTCGCAGCCCGACACCCAGGAACGCCTCCCAGCCACGATGATGCGGTAAACCACTGGGAGATTTGCATAGAAAGGATATGTCAAGTAGGCAAGGCAGATGCTGGGACCAGAAAATCGGAAGAAGAGCTTGAAATAAGCTTAACTCGGATCCCGGATGCATTAGACTTAGAAATAAACGCAGCAGAAATCGAACATCATACAATGACATCTCTCCTGTGTCGACACTGAATAACGACCGCGAATGATTCAAGACAGTTTTCCACATGCGCAAGCCATCAAGAAGCTCCAAAACCTACAAAGTTGACTGCAAACAGAATTTAAAATGTAGTGAGATTATAACTATAACTACCTCATTGGGAGTTGTACGACTAAGGGTTCCTCCAAATTGTCTCCGTTTTCTATATATCTCCCTTGAATTTTCACCCCACACCACTGGCGAAATAACGCTGAAACTTATACTTTGATCTTCCTAGAAAATATCGATTTCAGGTGAAAACTGTGTAATACCAACCTCATATTAACTTTGTACGTATTTTCAAGCAGATCCATGACATCGAAAATTGACCTGTCAGTGGACGAAGTTGTCGCGTTATATGATATCAATATTTGGGACAAAAATTGGAAATCCACACTACGCTGCACAGCTTCACGAGCAGAATGCTACAATGAAGGCAAACTGTGTGAGCCGAATGGCAGAGTAATCAAGCGTTCTTACGTCATCCTTCTGACTGCGAAGATAGTCAGAAAGCCTTTCGATATGCAAAGGTGTCAAGGAAGAGTCTAGTATAGCATCTTTTATTGTCGTCCATGAATCTAAACTGTATGAAATCCAGATACATACAAACACTCCATAACATCGAGATTACAACGACTTAACTTAAACGGATACCTGTGTAACCCGTTTCTATGAAATATCGTAAAGGCCTAAGCATAACTTAAATCTGACTGGTATTATGCTCGTTGGGTATTTTCAAAGACAGTCGCTATTGCTGCATTTGATCCACGACTACGTAAACTTACGCTATTAGTTTACTACTAGTTTATCTTCTACTCCCAACGGTTTATCGCCCCATCGTGGTTGGGAGGTGTTCTTGGGTGTCGGACTGTAATGTACAGCAGGGGGATTCGTCTTACCGGCAGGGTCTCCCAAGCTAAGGAGTCCGGCGTTCCCATCAGGAAGTCTAGCTAAGAGTAAACCAACACCAGGATCCACCACCGTTCTGGCAACAAACTAGTCGCGTGGTGATAAATCTCCCTCTGATCCACAAGGGATGCGACTGCCTGTCGTAGTGACGACCTGGGAGAGACATTAGCCAAATTGTCCTCGGGATTCCAAGGAACCACAATGGTTTAGCTAGCAAATCTCCGAAAAATGGTGATTAAGCTGAAGCACGCACTAGTGATGACGGACCGTCCAAACAACAAATATCAAGTAAGTTTATCTTCTAATTGGAAAACTTCTATTCTCTTCTTTCGGATGACACTGCTGAGCAACGAACTTCCCGTCATATTTCATGGCGAGGATGCAACAAATTGCAAGCGAGTCTTGGTTAAAGAGTACCATGAACCAAAGCACGGAAAACACTATGTTGGGAATTATCAATATTCTAAAATCAAGACTTCTGTAAGTGTAATTCTGATCCATTAATATCTGTCAGAGGTACGTGTACCCCTGTCAGAGGGGCCTTGTAACAGACATGGGTTTAACCTCACATCCTAGGTTCACCATGCCTTCCACCGCTTCGGGGTCAGCGAATTGGTACCAGAACAGCTTGGAAGCATATCAACACTCGCTCGATACATCGATAGGCCACCGCGAGTCATTGCAAACGCCAGCCATGCAATCAATCACCTCTGATGATGCCTAGTGAAGTCGAATGCATAGCGCATTCCCCAGAGATAGATCAACGTCGAGAGCTTTATTCTTTATTCTTTTTCAAGATGTCAGTATGGTAGGAGTAACTAGATAACACCACGCACATATATATGACAAACCCAAATAACAGGACCGTACTCGACCTTGTCTACCATATCAAATTGCATGTCCTGATTAAGAACATGGAAACTTACAATGTTAAAAAAATAAAGGATAAAAGCCGTCGGCGTTGAGCGAACCAGGCATGCGTCATGCACTCCACTTGATTAAGCATCGTTTGGAGGCTATTGAATGCATATCTGGCCTTTACAATGCCTCACGGTGGCCTACCGATGTATCGAGCCAGTGGTGCTATCCTCCGAGACAAGTCTGATATCAATCTGCCGACTCTGGAAGGATGAAAGGCTTGGTGAGCCTAGGATGTATGGATTGATTCCATGTGTGTTGCACGGTTGTGCAGCTCCTCCAACCGCTGGCCCACACGAGTACCTCACACCACAACGTTAACAATTTATAGTCTACCACTAAGACCTAATGCTCTTTTGTAAACAAACCTCTTGGTCTATGTTCATCCATAGTAGTATTCACATCTTTATGAGCACTGCTAACATATTCCTTTTTTCTTTTCATTGACTGAAGTTTCAATACGCTTCAAAAGCACTTAAGTTCCTTGTGCCACAAAGATGACAAGGAAGTCAAAGGATTAAAAGTATGACAAGAGTTGCCGCGACAACTTTCTTACTTAGTAAACGAATCTCAGAACAAAGTAGAATGCCAGCAGACACTTTCATTGCAAAGAAAAAGGCTCCGAAGGGTAATTCTAGACAGCGTAAAGAAGCAGTATAAAAGCAGTTCTAAGCATAAAAACTATGATACAAGCACTTGCGACAACTGCCTTACCTAGCAGATGAATATGCGATCCATGTGATCAGACGTTTCTAGTGAAGAAACAGCTGACAATAAAAAGAGTAAGCTCTAAAAGAACAACTCTAGAGAGTATAAAGAAACTCAGTATTCACATGAGTAGTTTTAGAAACTCTCTGCTCTAAAATACAACGACATTTCATCAGTTGATAAACTAGATATATTGCTTAATGATTTAAATGTAGAAGAGAAATGGTGAGGTGAGCCATCATTTTAGAAAAGGAATCGATAACTGATCGTCTGCATCATTAATAACCAATGAGACACATGAAATACGTCATCAAAACTCTACTTGGGACCAGAAGTCATCCAACATAGTTTTCGTAGAGGACACAGCGTCATGCCTTCCATCGCTATCATCATCCTAAAGTACAATAAATAACACCCAAGTTCATAAAAAAAAAACATATGATGGGTGGAAACGAAGGATTATAGGTGCCACCTACCATGACACCCAGGAACGCATTTTCTAACTGTCTCGTTCCATATAACAACTTTTCTCCATGCTGCAAACCCTGATGGATTTCGATGCTCGTCGAAGAACACGGGTAAGTAGGCAAATTACTTTTTACATCACTGAAAAAATAATAGCAAATGAAACAACTACTTTGTTGGAAAGATTAATCTCATTTCGATAAACGCTTACACTTATCCATTAATAGAGTACTTGGGATCATGGAAAGCTTACACACCAGACATAACCGTCCCATTAATGTGACTCATTATCTCTGGGAGGTGTTCCTGGGTGTCGGGCTACAATGTACAGCGAGGGGATTCATCCCCACAGCAGGGTCTCCCACGGCATAAACTTCTTTACGCTGTTTTCATCAGGAAAGCCAACTAGGAACAAACTAATACCAGGATCTACCACCGTCCTGGTACCAAACTAGCCGCAAGGTGGCAAATCTTCCACTGATCCACATGCGTGGCGACTGCCTGTGGCGGTGACGACCCGGGGCAGACTTTGGCCTGGCTGATCTCAGGACTCCAGGGAACCACAATGGCTAAACCACTAAGACTCCGAAACAATGGAAATTATGCTGGGGCGCATACAACTAGTTAAAACGGGCCATTCAAGCATTCTAATGTGTACATATACATATGAACTTCCAAATATTATTCCCATTTGTCATATTTCGTTAAATTAAAACCTAAGAAGAACCATTAAGGCTCAATAACAAAAAGAGAAATAAAGACATGAAAAAACAATTTTTGGAGCCACCGCAGGGTAAGCTCAAAGTGGTGAAATAACCAAGTTTGCGTCTCACTGGCAAATATGTGAAGATTCCAATGGTTTTGATTCCAAACAATAAATTCCAATAAGAGTTGAGATATAACGACTTAGGTTTTAAACTCCAACTTATTTTTGTTCACATAAGAAAGGATAAAAATCGGCGTTGGTCATTCCCCGAGGGATGCGCCATGAATTCGACTTCATAAAGCATCGTTGGAGGTGATTGAATGCATATCTGGCCTTTATAACGGCTCGCGGTGGCCTACCGATGTATCGAGCCAGTGCTGCTACCCTCCCAGACGAGTTTGGTACCAATTTGCCGACCACAGAGGGATGGAAGGCTTGGTGGGCCACGGGCGCGGTGATCGATTCCACGTGTATTGCAAGGCGTCTACGATCTTTGCGCTATACACGTCCCCTTTCACCCTTTTTGGTCACATATGGATCAAAACGAGTGCAATGAAATTAGTGTTCTGTAATCAAAATAATGCATTGCGAATGTAGCAGAGAAAATAACAAGGTAAACCAAACATGTAACTAAGTTCCATTGTACGGAGTGCAGGGTTGCAAAACTTTGCCAATTACGCAAAAAAGTTACCCTGATTTCAAAGACGCTCTGCGAGACTGATGGCTGAGACAAAGACTACTGTTAAAACGCAAGCTGCTTATCCCAGATTTCTTTGAACTGCAAAATAAAAGTACTCTTCGAAACAAAAGTCCAAATCACAGCAACACTTAAAGCAATACAAGATCCTAGCTCAAACATTATGACATAGTACTGATACCAACTTATACTGAACAACCTGCACAGGAGCGGAAACTGTAGTTCAGAACCAAAAGCTGAGAAGATAGCACGATTGCAATGAATACCCTCGAGATCGTCATCACAATCAGAATCCTCATTATCGTCTGTACTGCAAAGTCGTTCTAAAAACATAATTCGTTTGGTTAAGTCCTCGACCAATCAATTATGATCAATATTCCGGCAAAATTGATATTACCAAGTACCTTATCTCCTCTTACTTAGATACCTTATTTAATATATAACAATGGGTTTTTTATTACAACCTATAATTCGTAGACGGTTAGAATACTTGAGGAGCTCAGTGTCTGACCGACTCTACAAGTCTTGCCCGATTACTTTTCGCCTAGAAAAAATGTTTGGAACTGAGATTCACAACGAAAATCTCAAGATAAAAACCAAATCTTTAAGATCTCCGAAGGAAATGCAGCAAGGAAAACACCAACTAAATGTCGAGGCACTTTACTACACGCTGTTTTATAAACTCAAACTGTTCAGTCGATCCTGTTCTCAAACGCAAGCCTGGACGTAGAAATTTTAGAATGAATGTTCTTCTGAGCTCCTTAAAATCATAGTTCTGCAGCTGTAAAGTAAGACAGTTTTCATCTTTTCCGCAATGAAAAACCTTACATGAGAAGAATGGATTTTGCAAGATTAGTACAATAAGAAGAATAGGTCTTACAAGCCTATTTATCTCCCTTTTCTTCTGACATATTCTGATATTCCTAAAAGTATGTAAGAAAAGGCATTTCACTAAAAATAAACTTGCCTTTAAAGATAGGCTCGTTTTCTCCCCAAAAATTACAGAGATGGAGCAACTCGTCCATCAAAACGGTGTCGTCATTCACCTCTTCACAACCACTGAAAATGTAAATAGCAGTAAAAATCACCGCTGGACATAAAAAAAGAGTTATTTAAAAGTGCAGGTAAGAATAGGTAACAGATAAGAAGATGATAAATTCCAAGAAATACCAACACATACAAAGCTCTGGCAAGTGAGTTCCATGCTATGCCTTTCTTATGAAGAAACGTAGAGGTTGACATGGTTAGCGGCTCTATCTCTGATAATATAGGCTCTTCATCGAAGTGGACACCCTGAATAAACGCATTTCAGAAGAAGCTGAGCATAACCAACTTCATCACATAACGCCCGAAGCTCAGATCTTACTAGCTGCCGAAAAGAAAGACGCCTAACCTCATGTCGGTCACAGACCTCCTGTTTCAAAAAAAAAACAGATAATCTCTAATAACAAGAAGATTTGAGGGGTTGAGATCATAACTGAACTACATGAAGGGTCTTGCCTTATCATTGTAGAGGCATGCATGGCATGTGCCCTAGTAGTTCTCGGAAATTTTTTCTTTGTTACTGTGGTCCAACAAAACCCGCATTGCCATCAGCATTTTAAATATTCTGAAACTTATTTCAAGGTAGTTCGCTACTGTTCTTATTCGTCCAGCCCATGCAATCACCATTACTTAACATAGCGATTGGAAATGAAACAATATTCAAATATGACTCAAATTCGCAGTGAATGAACTCGTCCGAAAACGCATTTAAATTATTAGCGTTTCCACAGACTACATCTGATGTGAAACCTCTGCTGCGTAAACAGTCGACCTGATACGAGAAGTGCGACAAAAAAGCTCTTCGTAACAAAGCAAATCATTGAAAAGGAAATGCGTAGAATGCAACGCACTTCGTCCACTCTTGAGCTCCACGCGAATGCATAGCATTTAATTCGGACGTATAACATAACCATTTAGTTGAAAGTTCATAAACACAGCGGTTTATTTCGTTCTACTTTCTATTATACGGTGCCTGAGCACAGTACTGGCTCGACATCGCTCGAACTCAGCAAACCTCTCACCAGTCCGGAGTGAGGAAATTGGTAACAGACTTGCCTGGTCTCTACTCATTCTCTCAAATATATGCAGCAACGCTCTAGTACAGTTATCCTAAGACTCGACGTAGAATCAAGTTGATCGACATTTGTAAATAAGACAACTATTCTCAAACAGGAACCGAATCCATGCATGAAAGGTTTGAAGAACTTCGTTGATAATGGATGCGAGGAAGCGAAAGGAAACAAAAGTGCTGGGATCTGCACAGTAGATGTACATGGACAGAAGTTACTATAACTCCAACTATTCCTGGTTCCTGCACCACCTGCCGTCCCACAGATCGTCGACTGATCGAGCGAGAGCCAGTAAATCTTCCGCTTCTTCATATCACTCACGAGAGTAGCTCTGTGGTTTCTCCTCGCACTAGGAACTCGTTCAGCATCATATCTTTCTTTCTAGGGTTTTAGTGAAGACCTCTGAACATCGCGTCGGTAACCATCCTTCATGTCTCTCATACCTTACCATGAGAAAAGAATAGGTATTAAATAGAAAGTGATTGCTTCGTGTTTTATACTACATAGTGGAATAGGCAGCATGGTAATGCAAAAAAATATTTTGTATTCATCATGTATACAACTGAATGATAGAACTGTAGACACACAACGTAGAAAAATAGCTACCTTTCTTTTGTGCGCTTCTTTCCTTAGAACTGTTGAACCATCGAATACAATGTTAGAAAGAGAAAAGCTGGAGCGACCACGTGCAACTTCGGGCATCCCCTTATTGTAAGAAACTATAACAGCAGGAATTTTGAGAAATATCAATACT